GGAAGATTAACTCCCACTTGATTCAAGCGATTGTAGTACCCAGACAATCTGGGCACATGCTCACTAGTTGAGCGATTCTCCTCCATCTTTTAGCTATAGAACTTGTTGGAGACTTCATATCTCTCAACTCGGGTATTTACTTGAAATATTAACTTCAACTCCTGGAACATCTCATATGGTCCATGACGTTCAAAACGTCTTTGAAGTCCCGATTCTAAGCCATTAAGCATGGTGCACTAAACTATCAAGTAGTCATCATATTGAGCTAGCCAAACGTTCATAACGTCTGCATCCGCTCCTGCAATAGGTCTGTCACCTAGCGGTGCATCAAGGACATAATTCTTCTGTGCAGCAATGAGGATAAACCTCAAATCACGGATCCAATCCGCATCATTGCTACTAACATCTTTCAACACAATTTTCTCTAGGAACATATCAAAATAAACACAGGGAAGCAACAACACGAGCTATTGATCTACAACATAATTTGCAAAATACTACCAGGACTAAGTTCATGATAAATTTAAGTTCAATTAATCATATTACTTAAGAACTCCCACTTAAATAGACATCCCTCTAGTCCTCTAAGTGATCACGTGATCCAAATCAACTAAACCATGTCCGATCATCACGTGAGATGGAGCAGTTTCATTGGTGAACATCACTATGTTGATCATATCTACTATATGATTCACGCTCGACCTTTCGGTCTCCGTGTTCCGAGGCCATATCTGTATATGCTTGGCTCGTCAAGTATAACCTGAGTATTCCGCGTGTGCAACTGTTTTGCACCCGTTGTATTTGAACTTAGAGCCTATCACACCCGATCATCACGTGGTGTCTCAGCACGAAGAACTTTCGCAACGGTGCATACTCAGGGAGAACACTTCTTGATAATTAGTGAGAGATCATCTTATAATGCTACCGTCAATCAAAGCAAGATAAGATGCATAAAAGATAAACATCACATGCAATCAATATAAGTGATATGATATGGCCATCATCATCTTGTGCTTGTGATCTCCATCTTCGAAGCACCATTGTGATCACCATCGTCACCGGCGCGACACCTTGATCTTCATCGTAGCATCATTGTCGTCTCGCCAATCTTATGCTTCCACGACTATCGCTACCGCTTAGTGATAAAGTAAAGCATTACAGCGCGATTGCATTGCATACAGTAAAGCGACAACCATATGGCTCCTGCCGGTTGCCGATAACTCGGTTACAAAACATGATCATCTCATACAATAAAATTTAGCATCATGTCTTGACCATATCACATCACAACATGCCCTGCAAAAACAAGTTAGACGTTCTCTACTTTGTTGTTGCAAGTTTTACGTGGCTGCTATGGGCTTAAGCAAGAACAAATCTTACCTGCGCATCAAAATCACAATGATAGTTTGTCAAGTTGGTGTTGTTTTAACCTTCGCAAGGACCGGGCGTAGCCACACTCGGTTCAACTAAAGTTGGAGAAACTGTCACCCGCTAGCCACCTTTGTGCAAAGCACGTCAGGAGAACCGGTCTCGCGTAAGCGTACGCGTAATGTCGGTCCGGGCCGCTTCGTCCAACAATACCGCCGAACCAAAGTATGACATGCTGGTAAGCAGTATGACTTATATCGTCCACAACTCGCTTGTGTTCTACTCGTGCATATAATATCAACACATAAAACGTAGGCTCGGATGCCACTGTTGGGGAACGTAGTAATTTCAAAAATTTCCTATGCAGACGCAAGATCATGGTGATATATCGCAACGAGAGGGGAGAGTGTGATCTACGTACCCTTGTAGACCGACAGCGGAAGCGTTAGCACAACGCGGTTGATGTAGTCGTACGTCTTCACGGCCCGACCGATCAAGCACCGAAACTACGGCACCTCCGAGTTCTAGCACATGTTCAGCTGAATGACGATCCCCGGACTCTGATCCAGCAAAGTGTCGGGGAAGAGTTCCGTCAGCACGACGGCGTGGTGACGATCTTGATGTACTACCGTCACAGGGCTTCGCGTAAGCACTGCTACAATATTATCGAGGATTATGATGGAAGGGGGCACCGCACACGGCTAAGAATATGATCACGTGGATCAACTTGTGTGTCTATGGGGTGCCCCCTGCCCCTGTATAAAAAGGAGCAAGGGGGGAGGCCGGCCCTAGGAGGGGCGCACCAGGGAGTAGGATTCCTACTCCTAGTTGGAGTAGGTTTCCTCCTTTCCTAGTCCAACTAGGAGAAGGGGGGAAAGGGGGGAAGAGGGGAAGGAAGGGAGAGAGGGGCCGCGCCCCAAACCCCTTGTCCAATTCGGACTGGGCTTGGGAGGGGCGCGCGCCACCTCCTGGTCCTTTCCACTAAGGCCCATTAAGGCCCATTGCTTCTTCCTCGTATTCCCGTAACTCCCCGGTACCTCCGAAAATACCTGAATCACTCGGAACCTTTCCGATGTCCGAATATAGTCGTCCAATATATCGATTTTTATGTCTCAACCATTTCGAGACTCCTCGTCATGTCCCCGATCTCATCCGGGACTCCGAACTCCTTCGGTACATCAAAACTCATAAATTCATAATATAACTGTCATCGAAACCTTAAGCGTGCGGACCCTACGGGTTCGAGAACAATGTAGACATGACCGAGACACGTCCCCGGTCAATAACCAATAGCGGAACCTGGATGCTCATATTGGCTCCCACATATTCTACGAAGATCTTTATCGGTCAGACCGCATAACAACATACGTTGTTCCCTTTGTCATCGGTATGTTACTTGCCCGAGATTCGATCGTCGGCATCTCAATACCTAGTTCAATCTCGTTACCGGCAAGTCTCTTTACTCGTTTCGTAATACATCATCTCGCAACTAACTCATTAGTTGCAATGCTTGCAAGGCTTATGTGATGTGCATTACCGAGAGGGCCCAGAGATACCTCTCCGACAATCGGAGTGACAAATTCTAATCTCGAAATACGCCAACCCAACATGTACCTTTGGAGACACCTGTAGAGCTCCTTTATAATCACCCAGTTACGTTGTGACGTTTGGTAGCACACAAAGTGTTCCTCCGGCAAACGGGAGTTGCATAATCTCATAGTCATAGGAACATGTATAAGTCATGAAGAAAGCAATAGCAACATACTAAACGATCGAGTGCTAAGCTAACGGAATGGGTCAAGTCAATCACATCATTCTTCTAATGATGTGATCCCGTTAATCAAATAACAACTCTTTTGTTCATGGTTAGGAAACATAACCATCTTCGATTAACGAGCTAGTCAAGTAGAGGCATACTAGCGACACTCTGTTTGTTTATGTATTCACACATGTATTATGTTTCCGGTTAATACAATTCTAGCATGAATAATAAATATTTATCATGATATAAGGAAATAAATAATAACTTTATTATTGCCTCTAGGGCATATTTCCTTCAACAGCGGGAGGCAGCAGGCGGCGACGCGATGGAGAGAGGCGCGGCGGCGGCTACGGGTGGCGCGCGGGGCAGGCGGCAGCGGCGCGGGGTAGGGAAGGGACGGGCGCGGTGGTGGGTGCAGTGGCGGCGGTGGCGTGAGGAGGCGCGGCGGCGGCGGCGACGACCTTATGGTTGGATCGAAAAGGATGATACCATGTAGATGAATAGTTTGCAATACAAAAGTCGTTGTATTGATGAGGTGGTGGTGCACGTATATACAAGTACAAGATAGGCCTTAATTTCAACTACACACAATTAGGAGGTGGGCCACAACACATAATACATGCAACACAAATATACACTCAACAAGGATGAGCTCTATGGAGGCCTCCATTTGCAAAATTCAAACTTCATCAAAATTCATATTCTTACGTTTCAAAAAGTTTTGAAAAAAATACAGATATACATGGAGGCATAATTTATATGTGTGTAAATTTTCAATATGCATGAAATACGTTTGAAATGAGGGATATGCAAAAAAAAAAGAACAAGTCTGAGGCTGTTCAACACATGATACTATTCATCCTCAAAATTCATGAATTTACTTTTTTTGTAGGGTCGCATTTCAAGGTATTTCATCCTGAACTTTTACACATATACTTCCTCTGTTCGCAAATACTTCCTCTGTAAACTAATATAAGAGTGTTTAGATGACTAAAATAGTGATCTAAACGCTCTTATATTAGTTTACGGAAGGACTATAAGTTTTTTTAGAGATTTCAATAAGTGACTATATATGGAGCAAAATGAGTGAATCTACATTGTAAAATATGTCTACATACATTCGTATGTTATAGTCCATTTAAAATGTCTAAAAAGACTTATATTTAGGACGGAGGGAGTACATTTCATCCTTGCATATTTTTTCAGATTCTTTTTAAATCAGAAATTTTGAATTTTGAATTTTTATAAAATTTCGGTCTCCATGGAGCCGGCCGGTCACCAAAACGCTCCACTCCACACAGTGCACCATGACATTCTTTTTACGGATCCATGACATAGTTTCACCTGCTACCGTGCGGCTCCGCTAGAAACCACTCTGCGCTCCCACTACAAAAATAAATGGTATTTTTCTCTAAATATGCGCCATGACCTAGCTAGTTTTCACCTGCTGCACTGCTGCTAAGCCCCCCGGCGCGGCGTGCGACGGAGGCAACGGATGCGTAAAGCGCTACAGAATTGCACCAAAGACACACGCTTCCGGCCGCGCATGACCGCGCCGGGCGGTCTTATCCTTATCTTTGCCTTCCATGTACGAAAGGTTTCCACAGACCAGTGGTCTACTCTACTGTATGCAAAGAGAGGAATATATATCTAGCTAGCTTAGCTTCCTTTGGGTAGCTTTATTTAGAGTAGACACCATTATCACATATTCCGGCTGTTCCATCCATGAAGTGTCATTTCATATCTTTGGTAATCGTTACGCCGCCGCCGTCGTATATGGATGGCCTCCCTCCCCGGCTTCCCCAGCCCTCTATATAGAGCTTAACCGGCAAGCTGATTAATAAGGCGAGGTAAAAACAAGTCTAATATAATGGACAAGTTTAAGGAAAAGATAGATGAGGCGCCGTCGATCGGCTCCAGCAGCTGGGTGGTGGAGATGGAAGCGACGATCCGCGACATCGACCCGGAGGTGGAGATGGCGCGGTGGAAGCGCCACTCCATCTACCAGGTGCCGGAGCGGATCAAGAACCTGCACAACAGCAAGGCGTACCGGCCGGAGCTGGTGTCGCTGGGGCCCTTCCACCACGGCGAGCCCGACCTGCTCCCCATGGAGGAGCACAAGCGCCGGGCGGTGGTGCACCTGGTCAAGCGCTCCGGGAGGCCGCTGCGGGACTTCGTGGCCGCCGTGGCGGAGGCCACGCAGCAGCTGCAGGAGGCGTACAAGGACCTCGCCGGCCAATGGCGCGGGGCGGAGAACCGGCAGCGGTTTGTGGAGCTCATGGTCACCGACGGCTGCTTTCTGGTGGAGGCCATGAGGATGGACGCGCTGGGTGGGAAGGTGGACGATGATTACGCGCCCAACGACCCCGTCTTTAGCCAGTATGGCTATCTTTACATGTGGCGGTATATCCAGTCGGACATGGTCATCATGGAGAACCAACTGCCTCTGCTTCTTCTCCACAGGCTACTAGTCGTTCTGGATCATGACAAATATCAGGTATATATACTACCCAATTACCTGCTCATCAATTAATTAGTGCTTATTATCTTTTCTTCACCTTTTCATATTTTTTAAATTAATTTCAAAATTAGGTGGTACAAACTGCAATATACTGCTAACATTAAAATGGTGCATATGTACTTCTCTATGTGTGCATATATATTTTTTCAACTAATTAAGCTCTTAAAATTGAATAAAATGCAACAGCGACAGTTATGTGGCCCTAACTATCTATACATGTTAACTGGTTGCTACAGGACGCTCGAGAGATCAGTAAGTTGGTGCTTGATTCCCTGTGTCCATGGCGTCGACACATGGTTGAAACTAATAACCCATTGGGGCTCCACCCCCTTGACATCTTACACCAAAGCCTCACCCATGACGATCACCAAGACCGCAAAGGTTCGAAGGCTTATGTCATGCCCTCCGCAATAGAGATCTACGAAGCAGGAATTAATTTCAAGGTGAGCGAGACTGACAGTCTCCTCGACGTGCACTTTGAAAAAGGCGTGCTAAGCATGCCGGCGGTTAGGGTCGACGAATGCACTGAGAAGAGGTTTCTCAATCTGATGGCATTCGAACGCCTCCACCCTGCTGCTGGCAATGCGGTGACGGCCTACGTTATCTTCATGGACAACATGATTAGCTCAGCCAAGGATGTAGCCCTGCTCAGATGTAAGAATATTATCGAGAGTGGGTTGGGCAGCGATGAAGAGGTAGCTAAACTCCTCAACAACACGCTAAACAAGGGAGGAGTGATGAGCCCATCTAGCAGGCTCCATGATGTGCAGCGGCAGGTGAATGCCCACTGCATGAAGAGCTGGAATAGGTGGCGGGCTAACTTCATACAAACCTACCTGAGGAATCCTTGGGTGTTCATTTCCCTCGTCGCCACTATTATTTTATTAGTTGCCACACTCTTGCAGACCGTCTATACGGTTGCACCTTTCTATAAGTACATGTCAACCTAGTAGCAAATTGGTACTCTGTCAGTTCCAAAACAGCCATCATATTAGGTTTTGTTAGGAAAAATATTTGACCGGCAATTACTCTATTAATATGTACTTCATGTGACATAAAATTGATGTCATTAGATTTGTTTTGAAAGTGCCTTTTGTTGTTTATGATTTTGTATCACAAAAGTTGTCTTATTGTTGGTGAAATTCTTTCCTAACAAGACGTAACACAACTGGTATTTTGAAACGAAGGGAAATGACCCATGGGTCTCCTACTATGAGCACCTAAATATACTTTTTATGATCTATGTGTTTACAACATATGTAAGTTGCCTTCGATGTGGAAACCTATCCACAACTAATTTCGCAACAGATTCAAAAGCCTTGAGTAAAATGCTCTTGTTAACTCGTATGGGAGGAATTTTAAGAGTTTCTCAACGACTACAAGGCTTATCCATCTAATACTCCCATGGTTTCATAGGGAAAGATCCACTTGTATCATGAGGAGATGACAAAAAAAAATTGTGACCTGAGTTTCAGTATCAGTGCCATTAGGACTACCGAAGGAAATTGGATGGGAGCCAAGACTATCATTCGATATTTCCTAGGCACCAACTATATTCTCATGATGTTTCAAATTTTAGGGACATTATCTGAACTCCAATATCAACGGATAAACCAACGCTAGATACTTATCAGATCCGTACAAACTATAGAACATAATCAGACTATTTTCTTTTCTTTTTGACTGGCGAGATCTCTAACTAGAATCAGAGTAAGATAGACCATATATATTTGTGGAATCAATGGTAAATTAACTTAATGTTAGCATGCTCCATGACTAGAGACGAGCCCCTCTAATTTTCTGGCCAACATAGCAGTGCTCTGTTATTCTTCATCTTTCCTGTCCACACCAAGCTGACCAGAAGGAACCATACCCACATCCTGTAACCCGTGTTATTGCTTCCGAATTACAGCTCAAATGTGTTATGCTTGTCATTTCCTCATCATAATTTCTAAATTTATTGGCGTAAATTGTATCAAAACTGGTCCCCATCTCTCTATTACTGGACCCCTCCTAATTCAAAACTACAATACCATCAAACATTCTTACTCGTCTCTCGACTATTTCCTCAATATTTGATTTTTGTGATCTCTCGTGCGGTATCGTCCTTCTTCCCTGGTAGACCTCGGTTACGGAATCCAGGGGAGGTGTTCGTGCTGGAAATGGTGACGTCTCGCTTCTTATTTGCTGTATTTTAGGGCACTGAAAATAGAAACGCTTAGCAACATAAACAAGATAAACATTTTTATAATTTTATTCAATATGATGAAAATAGGGTAGGGAGGAGGTTCATCCACAACCTCATACGTTATTCATGTGGGATCACAAGATAAACAAAAACCATTGGATATACGTTTTAAAATTTTGTGTTATTGTTTTTCAATATACATGAATAATTCATGACTCTCATGAGTCATGAATTATTTTCATGCACCTGATCATTTATCATGACATAATTGAATATATATTTTTTGAGATACTTTTCACTTTAAATTAGTTAACTAATTAGCTTTTTCTTTTATCATAGTAGTGTACATACACATTTTTATAAATTATTTTTTGGTAATCTTTTATAAATTAGTTAAATGCATTTTATTGTCACGAGAACTTATTTTGAAATGTATGGACATTTTCCTCGGAGTCATGATTTCTTTAAGAGTTGTAAACATTTCTTTCTTAAATTCATGAAAATATGTTCGGAGATACATGACATTTCAATAATAATTATTGTAAATATAAAATAGTTTTAATCAAGTTTTGCAATTATATGCAAACACCTCTCGTGAATTGTTTAAATGGATATTTTAATTTGATAAGCGTCGAGCCTGAAGGGCCAACACAGACCTAGCTAAAGGTTGAGGGAAATGTAGACGAGCTCACCTCGGATAGATTAGCGTCGTCGGCAAGGCCGAGGGAGGTTGGTGGGCAAGAAACCATGCTTTAGTGGAGCACGATCCAGAGGAGGAAGACAGCGATTTAGCACTCGATTCCCTACGTCTTCGGGAGATTACTTCCACAGAGAGCTATAGCACGATGAGGTGAAGCTTGAGGACATCACGACTCATCGTGCAATGGTCATTAGTCGCGCGGGCGAAGCATGGCAGCAATTATGAGCTCTCAGACGTGCTTCAAGAGAGGACTAGAGGAGAGGAAATGACTGGGAGAGAGAGGAGAGTGATCAAGGCCGACATGGGTGATCTTATCCCATCCCCAATGGGGGCAGCGACAAGCAGGAGGTGGCTTGGGTGCGTGTGAGTGCGGCTATGATGCACCACATCGGGTGC